CGTGCGCATGCTCATGCACCCACGCCGCTATGTGCGCCACCAGCAGCGCACACGCGCCCTCGCCCGCAGCACTGGCGTGGCACTGGTCCACAGTCGCCAGGAACACCGGCGCGCATAACCGCGCCGTGCCGTCGCGACTCACCACCTCACGGCGCTCCCACTGCCCCACGCGGAACTCGTCTCCGAACAGCTCCCGCACGCTTGAAGCCGACGGTGACACTGGATCTGCCTCTGCCTCCCCCGCACTCGCTGCCTGCTGCTCCTCCAGAGGCTGCTTGTAAAGGGGATGCTCCTGCTCGGCCTCGAGTGCCTTGCGCCTGTCCCAGTCGATCTCGTCCCCCCCCTCCTCGCCGTACGCCTTGTGCAGCAGCGGCTCGCCCCTCTCCTGCAGCGACAGCGTGCGCAGGAACAGCAGCGGCCGCCGCAAAAATGCACCCACCCCCGCACCTCCTCCCCCTCCGCCACCTGCCCCACCTCCGCCCGAGGTGGCAGCAAGGGGCTTGGCTGGGAGGAAGGGCGGCAGGAGAAAGGACTTGGAGGGGGGAGGGGCGTCGGCAGGGAGGGGGTCGAGCGGCGAGATGGGGGACGAGTCCCTGCTGCCTTGGGCAGGGGGAGGGCGTTGCTCGCCGTGGGTGGAGCCGGCACAGGCAGCAGGTGCGAGTTCAGACGTGGCTTCTGGTGCTGACGATGCGGGCTGTGGCGCTGGTGGCGACGGCAGGTCGGGTGTGGGCGCAGGAGCAGGGGGCGGGCGGGGGGTGGAGGAGAAGAAGAGGAAGGGCGAGGTGAAGGTGAAGAGGCGTGGCACTAAGGGCGACCGCACAGGAGCAGTCGCTTGCTGCTCCTCCTCCGCTGCACCTCCCACACCCTCTGCACCCACGGCTCCCTCCTCACCACCTCCCTCCCTGCCTGCCTCCAGTGGTGTCATGTGCACTTCTTGCATTGCAGTCTGCCCTCTCTCACTATGCGCGCTGGAGGGCTGGGCGGGCAGGGAGAGGGTGCGAGGGGGCGAGGGCAGGGCGTGGGGCAGCAGGTGCAGCATGCGCATGCGTGTGTGCACGGGTCCTCCCACGTGCCCTCCCAGGTTCACCTCTGCCAGCGGCCCATAGCACAGCGCCTCCGCTGCTACCATCTCCTCCTCGCCCTCCTCACTCTCGCTCTCTGCCTGTCCTCCCTCCTCCCTTTCCGCATCCTCCTCTGCCTTCTCCCACACTGCCAGCTCACTCGTCAAGACCCCATTCTCCTCCCACGACATGTTGCTCCCTCGCTCCTTGTTCTCACCCTCTTCGCCCTCCTCCCCCGACCCCTCATCGCCCCTCCCTCCTAGCCCCGCCACCTGTTTCCCGCCTGGCCTGCCCCGCGCACGTCCTGCCCCGTCCACCGACACTGACCGCCGCCACACCCCTCCCCGCAGCACATCCAGCAGCCCCATGCCCATGCCCGAGCCCGTGCCTGTGCCCGCACCCGTGCTCGCGCCAGCGCCTGTGCCCACAGCTACATCCACACCCCCAATGCCGGACGCCCCTCTGTTGTCTGCCGATTCGCCTTCCACCTCTGCCACAGCAGCGCGATCTTCTCCCTGCTGCTCCATGGCACCGACTGTCTCCCTCGCCTGCCGCCCCTCCATTCCCTGCCCGCCAAGCCCACTCTCCCCCTCCTCGTCCTCGCCATCACTCGCCCTCCGCTCCACCTGCCCCCACCCTGTATCGCCGTCCGTTCCCTCCCAATCGGCCTCCTCCTGCTGCGCACCTCCATTGCTCTGCTCCGCGCTGCCGCTGCCAGCAGCCCCATGCCCTCCGCCCTCGCCTGCCCTGCCCGCCGCGTCCAGGGGCAGCGCGGGGCTCTTGCTCTCCCGGGTGCGCCGCTGCCACCCCCACAGCCCCCCCAGGTGCACCCCGCCACCCCCAGCCTCCCTCACTCCCGTCCCTGCTGCTGCTGGCCCGCCCGCGGCTGGAGTGGGTGGCACTGTTGCCGGTGCTGAGGCTTGGGCCGGGACTGGTGCTGCCAACTGGAGTGCGGCTGGGGATGGGGGGGTGGATGCTGCTAGCGGCAGCTGAGTGCACTCCACTGTCACCTGCCCGCGCACAGCAGCCCACACACACACAAGCAGAAACGCCTCAGGGTATTGTTGGCACACAGACGCATGCTGAAACGGAAAAGCGAGCATATGGCTGAATGGAAGGGGTGGTGAGAGGGTGCCGGGCAGCGCGGGGGGGCCAGGGGCAGTGGCGTGAGTGGCGACCTGCAGCAGGCCGACGGGGGGCGAGTCGGGGGGCGCGAAGAGGAGCAGCAGGTGGTGCGTGAGGGGCTGCGTGGAGAGCGGCGCGGCGAGCGGCGCCACGTCCAGCACCACCGACGCCACCTGCTGGGGCCGCTCCCTGGGCCTGCTGGGTGCATGCTGTAGTGCAACAAAGGGGGGAAATGGAGGGAGTGGGGCAGGTAAGGCAAGAGCTAGGGCTACAATATATAGGAAAAAGACACGAAATTGCATACTTGTGTTATGAAAGACATGGAAGAATGTTCAGTGGAGATGGGATTGACACATGGGAGATGCGCCCTTCACAAATCCCACCTTGTGCACGAGCAGCACCACCTCCCACGGCTGGAAGAGGCAGCCCTTGCCGCACGCCTCGCCCTGCCCGCGGGCGGCGCGCAGGGCGGCGGGGCAGGGCAGCAGGTGGCAGTCGTGCGCGAAGCCCTCCTCCCACCGCACCATGCCGTGCGGCCCGCGCGGCGGCTGTGCGCTGCTGCACCCGCGCTTCACGGCGCGCCCGAACATGGACCCCATCAGCCCCGCGCGCGCGCCCTTCCACCGCACCTCCACTGCCAGCAGCGCTGCTTCCGCCCCCTCCTCGCCCTCGCCCGCCGCTGCCTCCGCAACGGCTGCTATAACGGGTGGCACGGCAGCAGGCGCAGCACTGGCAAGATCGCAACTGCTGGCCTTACCTGCAGCCGCTCCTTGTACTGCTTCCACACTCGCTGCCTGAGCCTCCACCGCCACTGCCGCTTCTGCTGTCGCTGCTACTGCTGCGCCTGCTCCTGTTGATGCGGCTGTTGCTGCTGCTTGCTGGGTCTCCGACGGGCCTGCCCGGTCAAATGCGCCGAGAGTGGTTGCTGTGACGGCAGGGGCATCAGCCGGCAGCAGCATGGAGTAGGACCCGCTCTCACCGCTCCACTGCCCATACCTCTCTGCAACAGCTGGTCCATCAACCGATCCCGCGTCGCCTGGGCCGGCGGGAGGTGCGCTCCGTAGGATGCCTTCAAGCACGGGAGGCAAGGCGCCGTCCGCCGTCCCCTCCGCTGTGAGCGGGGAAAACCCGCCAGCCTGGTGGCGAGCTGAATCCGCGAGCGCTGCGAGGGCGGAGAGCACTGCGGGCGGAAGGGCTGCTGGGGATGCGAAGCCGAAGGCGTGGTCGACGGTGAGGGAGACGGCCACGGACCGAGGGCCCAGCACAGCGCTGGCCGCCTGCTGCTGCTGCTGCTGCTGCTGCTCCTCCCGCTGCTGCCGCTCTTGCTGCACCTCTTCCTCCTGCACCTGTTGCTCCTGCTGCTGCACCTGTTGCTGCTGCTGCTGCTGCCCTGGCTGATCGTCCGGCCTGTTGGAATGCATGCGCACGGGGACGTCGCTCGGCTCCCCGCACTGTGCCGCAAGGGCGGCCTCGCTGGCGCGCTCCTCGTGGTCGACGCCGCGAATCCACGGGTGCAGCTGCGGCAGCGACACGGAGCGATGGCTCATCAATGCCATTCTTGTGTGACAGGCGAAGTGACCAAGCTGAGCAACGCGAAACTCTATCACGACGCAAAGTCACGACAGATCATGAAGAATGTTTCACATTCGGATCGCCATGATGCTCGACAATCTCCATTGCCTCCCTTCATGGCGCCAACGACTCACGCGGACACCTGTCATTGTCACGCAATGCTTCAAAAGAATCAATGGCTCTTCCGCAACCAATGTCCCAATATCCCAGCCATATAATGTTTGCCTACTACTGTAAATTCCTGTCTATTCTCGTATTTGCTGAAGAGAATGGGGAAGTGGGTGGCCTTCACATCTTCTCATTGGTTGTCGCGCGTCACACTCAGGTCGAAATCAAGGAGGTGCATGAAGGGGGGGGCGAGTGACAGGGGGAGAGCAGTAGAGTTGGATGGCGGGCGCGGAATCAACATCGCTGGAGGGGGGGTGCTGATGATGCGGGCGGGATCTCAAGATGAGTGGCATGAAGGGACGGTGGTGGGGTGGGGAACGGAAGGAGCGCGTCAAAAGGGATCGGCAGGAAAAAGACGACCTCAAGCGGGTGGGGTGGGGTTGGGGATAGAATGGGAGTGGTGCAAAAGCGCAGGACACACATATCGCGGATCTGCTCTCGTGTCCCCCGGGGTTCGCGCGCAACCATTATCTCCCAGCGAAGGCACAGGGTTACCTAGGTTCATCGTTTGGGGTCGAATCGCAGAGAGTGTGCAGCTGCCCTATGTTTTGGGAGAGGGGATAAAGTACAAAATAGAATACGAATTCTTGGCAGGGCCGTGCGAGAACCTTTGATCTCGATTGGCATGGCGAGGGTACTAGTGTTACGCTGCCTCTAAAGTGGTGCCCTGGTCCAGCTTACAGGTAAGACAATTAGCAGATAGGATATGCAGTAAATGTAGTACATACATGCTATGGCAACAGGTGCCTTGGCACATCCAGAACGGAGTGCCTTGAAAGGAGTGGACCGCGAAGGAGTGAGGAGTGGTCCTCCAGAATCCTGATTCATAACGGTCGATGGGTCCAGCCCAGCATCGCACATCACCATGCAAACCAAAAACAAGCATGTCTTGTGCAGCTGCGGCAGCGCAACACCACACGCACGCACCCTTACGTGTGCCGTAAATGCATTTATTGGATCACTTGGCAACAAAGCATGCCGCTCCTGCAATCCCCATGGGACCACCTCGGCATCGTACCGCTCATCACCTCACCACATGGCACTTCACCTTCATACGTGCACATTGTGCTGTAATTAGCTATTGGGCCGCCACGCTGACATGGCAAGCAGTGGTTGGTCCTTCCAGTTGAGAGTGAGGCTGTTGGGTTGTTCTGACGACAGCGAGTACGGGCCCTTGTACCTGCCATGGGGGAGCGGAAGGCAGCAGCTCAGCAGAGGAAGAAGAGAGAGCACTACAGGACAGAACAGTGGCATCACAAGCGGACACGCATGGATCAGCCAAGCCCAGCACACGCACGTGGAGAGCAGGGCGGTGGCGGTGGCCACCACCTCACGGCTGAGCGGGTACCCCACGAACCCGGCGCGGTGCACGCGGCGCTCCCACTGCCCCAGCGGCTCCTGGCGCTCTGTGCGGTCCTGCCCCTCACACGCCACCACGTTCACGATGGCGCGCCCCAGCACGCGCTGCTCAAACAGCCGCCGCTCCGTCGAGTCCGCGGGCACGGACGCGTCGAGGGCGTCGAAGATGGATGCGTAGTAGTGCAGCGCCTCGAGGAAGCGGCTGAGGAAGAAGGGCGAGTTGTGGTTTGTGTTCTGCTCCACCAGCGTCGTCACCGCGGGCGCCAGCGCGCGCATGGTGCGCAGCACGGCGGCGCGCGGGTTGGAGGGCGTGACGGACTCGTCCATGAGGTTGTGCAGGCGCAGCGCACAGTTCACCACGAGCACCTCGTCCGCCTCGCAGCGCACCATGGATGGCTGCAGGTCCGGCAGGTTTATGGGGATGAAGTTAAACGTGAATGGCACCCCCCAGCTCTGCGCCACTTTCTGCAGCGCTCAACACGGGATGGAGGGGATGGGAGGAGGGCAGGAGAGGAAGGTCGCGTCATGTGTGAGTGATGCCGAGGCTGTGATGTGAGTTGCCTCTTGTGGGTATGTTAGGAACGATAGAGGAGGTGAAAAGGGAAAAAAAGAAAAGAAAAGACGAACGGGAGGAGAGGGAAGTGAAGGAAGGAGAAAGCGGGCGGTTGGTTGGTGGGGAGAGAGAGCGAGAGAAGGGGAGACGCACGCGGAGGCGCTGGCCGGCCTGGCGGAGGCAGTAGCCCTTGTGGATGCCCGCCACAAAGGGGCGAGAGGAGGGCGATGGGTGGTGAGACACTGAGACCGCTAAGACTCACCCTTAGGCGCTGGCCGGCCTGGCGGAGACAGTAGCCCTTGTGGATGCCGGCCACAAAGGGGCGGTCGATGCCCGTTATGCGCAGGTGCGGTGGGCCCCCCGGCAGCACTGCCAGTGCCTGGATGAGTGGCGGCCACTGCACGGCGTGACCCAGCCCGAAGTCCACTATGTGCACCTTGCGCGCTCCCTGTATCGCCTCCAGTATGGCGCTGTTGCATGCCACGTGCCCAAACGTCAGGTACGGTGACGCACTCACCAGCACCTGTGGGTGTGGGTGCCGTAAGGGCAGGGGGACATGGGGGTGTGCGGAGTGAAGGCTGAGGCAATTTTGCACGAATTGAAGTGTCTATCAAGAACCCCCCTGGCTATGCAATACTCCTTCCTTCTGGCAAGACTACCACAACACCTTTCCTCCTTACAGCCACCGCCCCGCCTCAGACGTTCCAATAGTATCGCCACCTCAACCGCCCTCACTCACAGGCTCACCGCCCCCATCCCAACCGCCCTTACAACCCCCCCTTCACCTGGAAGGCCCACCCCTCCTGAAGCGGCTGGCTGACCTCAAAGGCGCGCAGCAGCGGGGCATCGCAGTCAATGGAGCGGTAGATGCCCAGCGAGCCTGCTGCCCCCGCGCCGTCACTGCCGGGGCAGCCGGCGCCCGTGGGCGCCGTGCCGGAGGCGCGGGCGAGCAGCCCCTCGAGGAAGTAGGCGGACACACGCTGTGTGGCGTCCCCGTACACCGACGCCACCGCTGTCAGGCGCTCCACCAACACGTGCACCTGGGGGGGGCGGGGGGGAAGGGGGGCAGATGGGAAGGATGGGTGCGTGACGGGATGGGGGAGATGGCCGCAAGGCGTTTCACCAGCACGTACACGGCGCAGGGCGGTGGCATGGGCGCGTGATGGCATGGGGGGGATAGGAGATGGCATGCGAGAGATGAGACGCACCTGCTCTTGTCACGGCCACAAACCGAGCTCGGCTCTAGCCGTGCCTCACCGCACCTGTACCTTCTCCCCCCTCACCTTCTCCTGCTCCCCCCTTCTCACCCTCTACCGTTCGCCTACCACTCACGCGGTGGTGGTCGCCGGACACAATGGCCTTGGCGATGTCCAGCAGCATCTGAATCACCGCCGACCGCCCCGTGCCCGTGCCGCCACTGCTGCTGCCTGCTCCTCCTCCTCCTGCCGCCGCCTGCACCCCATGCTGCGACTGCTGCATCGCCTGTCCCTGCTGCTGCCCCTGCTGTTGCCCTTGCTGCTGCCCCCCCTGCTGCCACCCCTCCTGGGAGCCGCCCGGGCTGTTGAGCGCAGCCCGCTGCATCTGCGCCATCAGTTCCTCCGCGCGCCCTTGGCTATCCGCGCGCCCCTGGCTCTCCCCCGACCTCGCACTCCCCGTCCCCTCAACTCCCCCGCCCTGCTGCCCCGCGCACTGCCAGCCATCCCTGGCGCAACTGGTGGGGGGATGCGCGGGCGCCATGCCTTGGGGGGCGGGCACCATTCGGTCCACCGCCATCCCCAGCAGCTCCTCCTCGCCCATGCCCGCGCCCATGCCCATGCCTGCGTCCCCTGATGCGCCGTGAAAGGCGCCCGGAGGAGCGGAGAGGAAGGCGGGGTTGAGATCGTGGGGGAGCAGCGACTCCATCTCGTCGAAGGCGAAGGTGAGCTCGTCCAGTCCGCGGAAGAAGTCCGCCTCCATGTACTCCGCGCCCAGCGCCACCGGCTCCACCTGCTGCACGCGCGCCATCCACTCCGCCGCGCTCAGCTCGCGCAACTGCTCCGCCACCGAGTTCGGCCCGTGCCGCGGCCACACGCCGCCGCCGCCCGCCTGCCCCGGCACGAAGGGGCACGGTGCGGGGGAGCCGCCGGGGCTGGGCTGGCCGCCGGAGGTGGAGGGGGAGGGGGAGAGCTGCTGGCAGGGCTGGCCCGCGGAGTTTAGCGGCACGGCCGCCGCCTGCGGTTGCTGAAGTGGCGTAAGGCCATTGGAGTGCGACGAGGACGAGCTAGCGGACGGCCCAGGCGACGTTGTGCGATTGCCCTGCGACGAGGCGCCAGAGGTGGCGGGCGGAAGGGAGCAGGGATAAGAAATCGGCTGCGGCGGAGGGCGCGGCTGCGGGGCGGGTTGGCGGGGGTCGGAGGGCGGAACGAGCGGCTCCTGCGTGTTGCCCCACAGCTGCTGCAGCGTCGCCGTCAGATCCCGCGCCGTGCGTTGCGGCGGCGGTAGCGACGGCTGCTGCTGACCGCCGCCGCGCGTGTTGCCGCCGTGCGAGTGCGTGTGCGCTCCTTGGTGGCCGCCGCACGGATGATCTGAACGGGCGGGGAGCACGGGGGAAGATAGAACGGGGCGCGGGGGAGGAACGGGGAGCGCGGGGAGCATGGATTCATGTGAGAGAAATGTTGCACTACTGACGGTAATGAAGACGGGGATACAGAAGGATCTCGTTACCGAGACACGGTACGAATACGCACGAACTTTAAAGACGGCTTAAGAGCCAAGGCGACGGGCGGACGGCACGGACCTTGCACGATGCGGCACGTCTTGAGCTGCACGTGCATCCACGCGCGCTGCAGCCGCTGCTCCAAATCCGACGGCACGCCCTCTCGTTCACCCGCCATGACGAGGGGGGCTCGCGTTACGAACAGATTCTGTCGGCAAAGCAAAATCTAAAAGTCACTACAAACCACTACGGTGCGGAGCGCAGCTATGGCTGTGCGCGTTCCCTGTGTGTCGATTTTCTTGCTATGATGCCTAACGAACAAAACGGACAAAAGCGAGGCTGTAATAATGCCTTGCGCACACGCCGCATGGTACTAATATCGTTCAAGAATGGCTCACCTCAGACCTCTTTTGGGTGTATCGTACCGTACGACGCGTGCAGGCGTACACCACAGTGCTTACCGCATTCCCATGTCCTACAGTGAAATTCCAGTTAGACTTCCCCTGCTTCACAATGATTCATTTTTTACACAACGCTTACTTTGAATGAGCATGAGTGCGTTATCATTCAAGAAACTTTGTTTTATATACTACTAAGACATGATTGACTACCCTCAACCATGTTTCTCCTTTCTGTGGAGCCAAGTGGGTTTACCCTTATTTCACATTCTAAACCTTTCAAACCATCTCTCACATCCTAGTGTTGTTTATCATGCTGGAACTGGTGACCTCGCACGCTCCTTGACAGTCATGTACAGTCCCTGTAAAAGCAGAAAACATGAAGAATGGTGAGGAGCTGCAGAAGGTGCAGACAGGTGCAGTAAGGTGCAGTAAGAGAATGTGGTATGCGTACGTTCTTGGTATGGATGGTGGCGCCGGTGGTCATGCTGATGTCCTGGTTGGGCACGAGCGCGAAGTCAAACTCGCGGACGAGCACCGACAGTGCACAGATGGCCTCCAGCATCGCAAACTGGTCCCCTATGCACTTGCGCGGGCCGCCGCTGAACGGAATGTACCTGGTAATGGGGGGGGGGATTCACAGGGAGTATAGCATTGATGTAACAGGGCATGGCACCAGGGACCTAATGGGATCACTCAGAAGCTGGCAAAGAACGAGCAGGTGCGGGCTAAGCAGTTGCATTGAGTGAGATTGGGTGACACAGCGGTGCAGTGCGCGCACCTGTAGTCGGTGTTGACCTCGTTGGGCAACGGGCGCATCGAGGTCAAACCGCTCCGGCATGAACTCATCCGCGCGCTCCCACACCTGCCATGCCATGCACCATGCCGTGCCATGCACCATGCCGTGCCATGCCATACCGCGCAGGCAATGCCACGTGGGTCGATACCATGAAAATAAAGTTGGGACGTTAGTAAAGGACCTCAAATGGGATCAGGGAATGCGATTGCAGGTGAAGGGAATGAGGCCAGGGTGCAGAGATGAAAGGGGTTGGATGAAGAGGGAGTGAGAGAGAGGCATGTGTGCACGTAGGCACCTGCGGCGAGTGGTGGATGTTGTAGACGGAGATCATCATGTCCTGCCCCGGCTGCACCTTGTACCCCCCCGGTAGCACATCAGCCACCACCGCCCTCCGGATCAGAATCTGCATGCACAGCCCACGCAGGGGAAGGAAGGCAGGGCAGAGGGCGGGCAGGGCAGAGGGCGGGCAGGGCAGAGGGTGGGCAGGGCAGAGGGCGGGCAGGGCAGAGGGCAGGCAGGGCAGAGCAGAGGGCAGGCAGAGAGTGAGTCACACATGAGGACCCACCTCCTGACAGGCACACAAATGCCAGCAGCAGCGAGCAGCAGCGCTTGGTGCGTGCGCCTGTTAAGCACTGCCAACAAGGACACATACAGCCGTGCATGCACCGTGCAGCAGCACCATGTGCACAAACCATGGCACATCATTCCTTGTCCACTCGTCCAACCAATCACATTGTATGCAGTGACCAGGAGGGCGGGTGTGAAGGAGTGCAGAGTGGTGCAAGGAGCCGTTGGGTGGTGCAGTGCAGCGTAGAGGTGCTTGCGTTGTGCCTCCTCGCAATGCACAGACCGAGAAGCCCCAATCACATAGATAGCACTGACCGGGGGGTGGGGGTAGAGGCGCATGGACTCGTTGATGCAGCGCGTGAGGTACTTGAGCTCCCTCGTGTCCGCCAGGCTCGGATGGCTCTTCCCAGCGAGAACCCTCTCCGCCTCCTCCTGTGCCTTGGCCATCTTCTCTGGGTGCTGCCATGAGAAGTGCCGGGGAGGGGGACAGCGGATGGGCAGCGGAGAGAGGGGGGAAGAGAGAGCGGATGGAAGGGGAAGGGGAGGCGAGGCGAGGAGGGGTGGCCACGGGGTGAAGCAGAAAGATAGATCGCGTGAAAAGGGTGGGTGTGAAAATGAGGGATGTTCTGTGAAAGAGGTGTGTACGTGTACGTTTATGCGAGAGGAGGGTGAGTGTGAGAAAAGGGGATGAGTGTGCAAAAGGGTTGGACGGAGTGTGGAAAATGGGGTAAGCGTTTGAAAGGTGCGAATCCATGTGAAACGGAGGCGAGTGAGTTAAGGCGGGGGTGAGTGCATGGAAAAATGGTGAATGTGCTTATAGCTAAGGAGACGAGGGGGCGTGGGGAGTGTGGGAGGGCGGGCGTGCCTGGGCGAGGAGGTAGACGGTCCAGGTGAGCACGGAGCCCGTGGTCTCATGGCCCGCCACCAGCATGGACAGCAGGTCGTCCCGTAGCTGCACGCTCGACACCTGCTCCATGCCCGTGCATGCAGAGGGGGGTTGGAGAGAGGGGGGGGGTGGGGGGGGGAGAAGGGGGGGAGGGGAGGCGCGGATGATGATTCATGCGTGTGTCCAGCACGTGGAGCGCACGGGGTGTGGCCGTGCGCATAGCTGAGCAGCAGAGACGACAAGGAGCAGAGTGGACACACGGTGGGCATGGGAGGGACGTTGCATGCGAGCTCACCTCTTCCCTTGAGGCGAGGAGGAAGCGCAGGATGGAGGGGTCGCTCTCGTTGACGTACTCCTCGTCGTCCCCCCGCCGCTCGTTCTCCGCCTCCACCATGCGCTTGCACTGCGCCACCAGCTCCTCCACTGTCTCGCGGATCACCCTCACCGCCTCCGCCGCCTTGCGCTGCCGCGGCACTATCGCGCACAGCAGTGGCACCTGCGCAGGTGGCGGAGGCACGAAGTGTGGGGGGGTAGGGGGAGGAGAGAAGGTGGGGGAAGGGAATGGGGGAGGTGTGATGGCATGGGAGCGTCGTTACTGCTGGAAGGGGGAGCTCCAGCGCCTCGCTGTGAGCAGCGATGGGCTTGGGGAATGCATGGGCGGTACGAACTGCACTGCACACGCATCTCTGCCTGTGCCAGGCTGTCGGCCACAGTCTGACAAAGCTTCGACTGGCCTGACAGATTGAGAGCTTTGCTCTTTTTCTGCTAAGCTTATTTGCAATCCATCTCCAGTGTTAGGTAAGTGGCGGCCTACTTCGGGTTCACAGCACCAACCGCCAACCGCCTCACCTGTCTGTACCGCAATGCGCGCGCGCACCTGCCAGTAGGGGAGGATGTCGGTGGAGCGCGACTCGGTTTCCTTGAGCGCGGTGTAGACGGCCTGGATGAGCGGGGAGTCGGTGGAGAGCGAGTCGAACTGGAAGTTGAACACGGCCAGTCCGATCACGTCCAGCGTCAGCTGAGAGAACATCGCCTCCATGTTCACCTCCTCGCCGCGCGCCGCGCTGCCGCGCAGCTTGTCGACCAGGTGCTGCGTGCTGCTGGCGAACACCGTCGCCACCATCGTCTCCAGATACCGCCGGTGCAGCGACGGCCCCCACTGCGCGCCGCCGCGCCTGCACGCACCACATGCCACGTGTCGGGTGTGGGTGCACGGGCAAGAGTTTCTACGTGGATCGTGCAGACGCGAGTCACGGCGCAACGGAAGGAGAGCGCGAAGGAGGCAGCGAGCGTGGGGTGCAAAATGCGGCAGCGGGGGTGCGGAATATGGCAGAGCGCGTAGAGAGCGCGTAGAGAGCACGTACGGTCCAGAGGTCGCCTTCGGCGATGGCGAAGCCCGAGCCGAAGAGGAACTCCGCCACCTCCGCCACGAGCCCCTTGGCGTATATCGACCCGTACCCCCGCAGCACGTGCTTCGCCGCCTCCGGCTCGCCGATTATCACGAAGTTGCGCGGCCCCGCCGCCAGCCTGCGCGAGGGGGGTTGTGGGGGAATGACTCGGGCATAGCTGGCAGGCCAACGGGCCTCCTCGGCAAGTTGTGGAGCCATGCATGTTCTCCTGACAACAGCGGGCTCTCTCACAACAGTTGTTTCGCCTGACAGCTTTTTTTCCTGACAATATTAAATCCCATTGCCTCATTCTCCTATCGGAGCATTCTCCTGGACATCAATTGGTCTCTCAGACTTGCAAGCGGACAACAAGGCCATTGCACTTCATCTCTTGCACCGACATTCACGCCATTGCCGTTCAGGCACCCCAAAAGCGATCAAAGTCGATCGCAAACGACCCATTCATGCGACTCACCGGTAGACGGGGCCGGACTCGAGCATATGACTCACCGGTAGACGGGGCCGGACTCGAGGCATATCACTGACCGGTAGACGGGGCCGGACTCGAGCATATCACTGACCGATAGACGGGGCCGGACTCGAGCATATCACTGACCGATAGACGGGGCCGGACTCGAGCATCCACTTGAAGAGCGGCAGGAAGAGCGCGCCGCCCAGCAGGTCCTTCACGTCGTCCAGCTTCGCGTCCGCCACGGGAATGCCCGAGTCGTCCGGGCCGCGCAGCTTCTCGAACAATGACGTCAGCCAATCAGGGCTCACCCACGTCATCCCCGCACCCGCCACATCCTTATTGCTTCCTGAGTCATCTTGTCTACCAGCCATGGCCACCAGACGACCTTTCCTAGCGGCGCCATTCCCTCGGTTTCTACGTGACGCGATGCGAGCGGTTTGACGAGGCTCGCCTGTGCAGAAAGACGACGACGAGGAGGCGGCTGCGGACGAGCCCAGACGTAGCGACACTGCGTGCGAGCAGGCAATTCCTGTAACGGGAGCCATGCTTCGGATGCTCGTGACTTGCAAATCAGAAATCCTGATTCTCAGGAAATTATCACCTGCAGCAAATGTTAGGAGCAGCAGGTGTTGTGCTGCGTGAAATGAACACAAACCAGTCACAGAACTCCGCGAAGATCCCAGTGCCGAGGATAAAAAGTGTGGAGCCTCGCTGGAAAAGCAACCCCCAAAGCAATCCAACCCCGGGTGTGCCACGTCTGCACTACGTGGTAGCCCTGTCGAACCTTACCGACAGAGCACGCCCAGGTGGCAAAGAATCCAAGCATCGCGAATGGCTTGCACCGCACCTTGTTGTGCTGGCCTCATCTCCTTAACGAGGATATTGCCTGCACTTCTAGCCTCTTAACTTTTCCATATATTTCTCCGCATTTAACAACCGTTTCACTTACAAACCATTGCTGCATTCGATAATGACTGTTAGTGAATGGGTGCGTAGTGTTACGATGTGAAGTTTTATGAGAAGGCATTCCTGTATGCTGCAGGAGCCGACTCTACCGAGTACGAAGTTGAGGAGTCAGAAAGAGCTGAAGCGACACAGCAACTGTCAGACCAAGACCGATGCAAACAACTAAAATGAAAAGAGCGGGAACAGGTTATGAAACGGGTTCCCGCGTCGCACGGTTTTCTTTTTGAATTCAGTCACAATAAGGGAATGTACCCCTTAGAATACATGGCTAGCCTAGGTCCTTTCGTATTCCCTTGTACTCTTATATAAACCCGATGTATGCATGTTATTATCATCTCAGTAATTTACATTCACTCTGACCTGAGGTCTAAACTTCCGCTGCAATACCACTCTGCGATCAACCCTGAGCGATCCTTTGCTAAGTCCCACTTGGGATTGTAACATGGTATGAGAGCTACTCAGGGATTCTTCGCTACCTCACTTCCGCAAATTCGCCGAATCAAGACCTGGCGAGTGGCACACGCTCCAAGACCAAGATGGCCGGAGGATCCGGAGGCCAAGCAAATCTGACGGCTGAAGGACAACCCAACCCAGCTGCGACAAGTGAGGCGACAACCACGATCGGCACTGCCGCCCTCGAGCAACTTTTCGCTCGACTTTCAACTATGGAGAAAGAACTCCAAGAACTGCGCAAATGCGATGCGGGAATCTCTTCCCAACCAGCACAACCTGGACAACCGGCTGAGAAAAGCCGTGATACCGCCGCGCACTACCTTCTCCCTCGACACAAACAAATCAGCAACAACTGCCCCCCGTCCAAAGCGATGAGGCTATCAACTCTGCGCAAGCACGCTTTCTCAGCGTTTCAAAAATTAAGACTACTGCCGCGTTCGACGGCAAGGATTTCTACACATGGAGTTTTGAGCTGGAGCTCCTCCTACAAACAGCGCAGATCTACCATTACTTCGACGGCTCTTACTCTAAACCGGTTGAAAACACCGACGTCGCCAGGGCTCAGTACTACAGTGAGTCCCTCATGGCCTACAGCGTACTACTACGCAACATGACGCCTGCGGAACAACTCAACATACGCTCCTACAAAGAGAGCGACGCTCCAGCAATGGAAGTCTGGAAGCACCTCGTTGAAGTTTACCAGCCGAAGGATTCGGTCACCTCCAGCAGGCTTCTCCAGCAACTCCTGGAGATAAAAATGGGGCACGGGGAGAAGGCAAATCCATATATTAACCGCTGTCGCAACATCCGTGACCAGATCACGAAGCATGGGAGTACGATCTCAGAAGAGATCTTCGTCAATATAGTCCTTCAAAGGACTCGGGCCTGAGTGGAAGCCCTGCAAAGCGTTACTCCGACAGCGAGGAACAATTTCAGAAGCCGCGCTATGCGCCGCACTCCTGTCTGAACAGCAAGACATGGACTCAAGCAGAACAAGCTCCGCGCCGCGCCGAGAGCGCCTCGCCTTCTACACGGACAACCGAGAAGAGCGACGACAACCAAGGCGCCATTACTGCAAAATATGTAAAGTTTTCGGACACTCAACGGATCGATGCAAATCCCGATCCAACTACCGCCACCCAAATTCCACTCACCACAACAACTGGGTCGGCCGACAAGACGCTCGTCATCCTCAATCTCAGCAAGCTTGTCCTCCTGCGCAACACCAACAAAATCAAGGACCACAGTCAGGAGCTCCCAGGAACGTCATCGCAAATATGACAGCACGACGTCGACGCACCACTGAACCTGACGAGGAGAACGAAGTCCAAGGAAGATTACTGGAACTAGAAGAGGGATGGAATGATCCCTTCACCGAGGATCACTACTACCTGTACGACGAAGACGAGCAGGACTGGAATCTTCCAATCACACTGCGGGAAAGCCCGCCTCACGAAAATCAGCACTACGTACCAGTGGGCTGGAAGGAAAACGAAGATCCTCACTTCCACAGGCGCTTCAAGACCACCCTGGTAACCCCACGACTGGCGCTGCTGCTGCGCCACAACAACACCGACAACTACAACACCTGGTACCTTGACAGCTGCTGCGGTCAGCACATGGTGGGGTCCACGCGCTATGTCTCTAACCTAAGTCGCGCCCCTGCAACTTATGTCACCGTCGCCAACAACGAACAACTGCGCGCAAACTCACAAGGACTCGTCGTCCTGCAAGCAGGAGACAGTGACACACACATCTCGTTCAACGACGTACTCTACGTCCCGAACCTGCGCTTCAATTTGCTCTCCGCTGGACAACTACGCGATTGCGGCGTCATCATCCACACGGACCTCGCAACGCGCGACCTCATCCTCACCTACGCTACCCCGGACACTCCTCCTGAGGCATTCAAGTACCTCGGACGAGCGCGTTCCATCAACGGGATCTATATCCTAGACTTCGACATACCTTCCTGTCAAGCCTCGTCAGACGAACTCGTGGACCTTGTCCCCCCTCGACTTCGCCTTCATGAACAAGGAGTCTTGGGAGCATCCGGATGGGAGACCGTGGGTTCGCCGAAGTCCTCACCCGCGTGAAATTAATCTTCACGACACTGACGCTCACAGACTGTGCACCACCTGTCACACGCCAACCGCAAGTCAAACGGAGCAAGTGGAAAGGGAGCAAGCGGCAATTCAGGAAGCGGAAAGCGCTGAGACTCAACCAGCAGGCATGACTACAGAAGAACTCGCCGTATCGTCACACCGCATATTCGGCGAGCCAAACGAAGAACTTGGGCAACAACAGCAGGAGAGACCAAGGCCTTACTCAGACTCCCTACGATTCGTCCTCGAAGCCAACACACGCACTCTCGACGACGAAGGACGCCCACGTTCGTACACTCGCGAAGTCTATCGCCGCGAGATTGACCCTGCCTGGAAAGATCCTGACGCACCAGAAGAGCTGAGCGTCAAAGAAGAACAGGAGAAGGCCCAAGCGGAGAAGAGGCAGAAGCTGTATGAGGAGCGCATCGCGGCAGGATGGGACCCAGACACTGCGCACGGCGGATGGGGCAAAGAGCCCGCTGATCCGGAAGAAGGCGCACTCTTGGGTTCCGCAACTGGAGCATGGGGAACCGGCACAACCACCACCGGAGGATGGGGGAGACAACGAGCCTCCCGAAGGGGAGCTCACGCAAGAGGAATTAGAGGATGCTGAACAAGAAATGCAAGCTGAGCGCCGCAACGCATCACCTCGAGTCACCATCCCCCTCGGTCGACCCCCACGCACTAGCGAACCACCTCGCTCACCCTATCACTGGCGTGATCCCCGGTCGGAGATTGAGGAGGGGAATATACCTCCAACACCTCCGCGAGACTCACTCGGTCCAATCTCTCGCACCAGATCTATACGCCCGCTTCATCGAAGGCACCACGACCCCGCTCACGATCATTCCCGCTCGCGAATTTCTCGCACCCGTATCTCTCAACGGCACCTGCAGAAGGGGAAGCAACAAGCAGAAGCAGAAGCAGAGGAGGCGAACAACGAAGCAGAACCAGGAGAAGCGGAAGAACCCCCGCTCCAGATTCCAGAACTCACAGCGGAGGAGGCAGCAGAGTACCACACCCGCTACAAACGTACTTCCGGCATCCGTGCCGAAGATGACCTCTGGCACCAGCGAATGGGACACCCCTCGCACCAGACACTCGCCAATTGCCTCCATGCAAAGTCTTTCCGCCAGGAGCACTGCTTGCGGCCCGATGGGACGGAGTTACAACACACCACCCCCCACCCAACCACCTGCACAGTTTGCCCCACAGTCGCACTCTCTCACGCTGCCTATCCCTCTCTGGAGCCAAGCACCAACCGCTACAAGAAACTAGAGAAGGTGTACAGCGATTTCATCGTACTCACCTGCGACGGACTCAACGGCGAAAAGTACACGCTGACCTTCATCGACGCCTACTCACGCCACGTGTGGGTTGCCAATGTGACGCCCGCTCCAAAGCACCGGAGGTGTTTCCGTGTCTTCCTCGCGCACGCGCAGCGACAGTCCGGAAGGAAACTGAAGATCTGGCAGAGTGATGGGGCAAAGGAATTTCGCAGCCATGAACTGGAGAGCGTGCTCATTGAGAAGGGAATCAAGCACGAGATTTCCCTTCCCTATGCTCACCAGCAACAAGGGCGTTGCTGAGAGGGTCAATCGAACCCTCATGACTAAAGTTCGCGCCATCATGAACCCACTCCGGCTTGCCAAAGAAATTTTGGCCGTACGCCATGAATCACGCGTGGCGCCTGCACAACCTTCTCTCAACCACCGCCAACAGGACAACCTCTCACCCCACATGAAGTGGCCGGATCAAGGGAGATCCCTCCATGCTGAGGGTTTGGGGGTGCATGGTACAATATCGGCCCACTTCAGCCACAATCGGCAAAGTTCGTTCATCGTGCGCGCTGGGGGAGTTTCATCTCGGACTCAGTCACGAACATAAAGATGGCTCATCCTTGACATGGACAACCAGGAAATTGTCCCTGCACGTGGACATTCTCTTCTACGAGCGACTCACCTTGACGCAGTGGATCGAGGACGAACGCCGTAACCAGGCTCGCAGCTACGCCAACAGCG